TCTGGATCTTAAATGATTTATGGCTGCCACATCAAATTTTAAATTAATTAAATTCAGGAGTTTTGAGAAATACTAAGCTGAAAGAGCCAATACACATGCTCAAATTAATCCCAATTTTTGCTATTGCTATTTTTACAAAGAGCTATAATTCAGTCAATTTTAAAGGGTAACTAATCCCCCACAAAAGCATAACCCCGCCCAAAGGCAAATTGAAAAATTCCAACTAAGTGGGCGGTGCCAAGAGACACAGAGGGGGACGGCCAAAAGTGTGAGGATGAGSGAGGAGGTGTGGTCTGGACAACAGGAAGTGACAGCTAGATTAATTTGACAAGCTAACATTTCTGAAAACATTCCTGGYTGTTCTAAAGAAATGAAAAGGTAAAGTTTCATGACATATATGCAAACTCACATTTAGCTGTTTCAARCTAAYATTTCAGGCAACAAACTGTTAAAATATGACTTTGGTCCAAAACAGAACAGAAAGAATATTTTGCTGAAAGGCAACAGTTCTATCAACTGATCCACCTAAACCAGAATTATTACACATAATTGTTTCATTTTAAGTCAGTTGTTCAGAAAAGGTTTTCTTCTTTTTTTCTTTGCACAGTTCACACTGGTGTCAATCATTTGGGGTGGCACCTGTGGTGGCCAATCACGTGCCACCCCTCTGGCTCCGCCCCTGCACAGAAAGAACTAAGAACAGAGAAAACACCAGACATACATTCACCCTAATGCACTTCACAGTTTCCATCAGGACCAAATGCACCACTGATGATGCAACACTCCTGTTTATTCCTTCCACTATGCATTAAGCAGAATCATTTACTGGTGCTGGTGAGGATGTGTATGAATGTGAGCTGCTTAAGAGCTAATAGCTTGGGTTTCCCAGCTGAGTATCAGGTGTCAAAGGAGTTCTTTTTAATGGAACAACAACAGGAAATCAGCTTCAGGCCTGGTGGGAAGCCATGGCTCAGAGTTAACAACCATTCTTTAAGCCAGTATCATCAGTTTTTTTATTTTATGGTGGGCCAGCCAAATGGGCCATCCCAACTCTCTCTGATCTTCTTAAGTGATTTAAACCTCAGCCCCCTTTGGCAATTGAAACTTTCCTAGGATTATGTCAGGGATGGTGTTAAAGGACCAGTTTTATGTGTTTCTCAGACATATACTTCAATTTTATACCAAARTAAATTAACTATGTCACATTCAATTATTATGAAAATGCAGTCAATTTGTATGAATCAAAAATAAGCTTGACTTTGCATCACAGCCGTTTCTAAACACCTTAAAATTGTCGTCTGTCTCTTTMAGAACCTCCTACTGATTCKGTCACAMMTATWTCAGTACATCAWCACAACAAYTTCATGCTGTTTACAACTGGTCTTAGGAGCGTTGTATGTGGTTGTAATAATAATTTAAAAAGCAGTAACATTATACAATATGMGTTAYGGAAAACAGCAACTCAGGRTATAAYTGAACCTTACTTGAATGATCTCAATGCGAACGGGAAAGTACATTTTCTGAAAAACCRGAGTGAGTAGAGAGACAASTTTTCAGCTCATTAAGAGTCTCCCAGTCATCCTCACACCGACACACATGTCAATGTTAAAGGCACAGTGTGTAGGATATTGTTAATTCTTTTAGCCGAAATTGAGATAATCACTAATGACAATAATTAAAAACATGTCTAATCATTGCAGACAAAGACCTTGTTTTATTATTTTTACCTTATAAAAAGCTGTTTATATCTCCATGGTCGCAGGTCGCCACTTCACTACATCTTGCATCGCCATCT